ATACAAAACATTTTTTACACTTATTGCTGCATACAGCATTGACAGGGATAAGCACTTGCCTATAGGAATAGCTCACTTGTGATACAAAACATGTTTTACACTTATTGCTGCATACAGCATTGACAGGGATAAGCACTTGCCTATAGGAATAGCTCACTTGTGATACAAAACATATTTTACACTTATTACTGCATACAGCATCGACAGGGATAAGCACTTGCCTATAGGAATAGCTCACTTGTGATACAAAACATGTTTTACACTTATTGCTGCATACAGCATTGACAGGGATAAGCACTTGCCTATAGGAATAGCTCACTTGTGATACAAAACATGTTTTACACTTATTGCTGCATACAGCATTGACAGGGATGAGCACTTTCTAAAGAACAAATAGATGACTGATTAATCATATACAGGAAAATGTATGCATAGATCTTGCCATTAACATGGAATCACTTAATGCCAATATTATATACAAGGTTAGGGTAATGAAAGTATTCATGTAGAGTGTATTTTTTTTATGTATGTGAAAGCTGGTCTCTGATGGAGAGTAACCAGAAGAGGGTGACAGTATTTAAGATGTGGTAGTGGAGGTAAGTACTTCAAGTAAGCCAGAGAGATCTGGTGAGAGAGACAGTAGAAATATCATCAGAGAAAGTTTTCTTAGCTGAGATGAAGAAATAGAACACTAAGTTAACTATACTTATCATAAGACATTTGTATTAGGTCTATTATATTTCTAAAAACTACATTCTTCATCTAGAATTAGAAGATTTTAAAATTATAGTATTTCAGCCACATTATATTCATATAATAGACCCAATACTAATATCTTTTGGGAAATATGATTAATTATAATCATGCTTTCCAAGCGTGAAAAAATATTTCAAACCAAAACACTAAGTTATTTCCTGTTAAACAACTTATCCTGGTATTAGATGATCAGAGGAGAGTGAACATAGTTGGTTCACTAGATTGTTGCCACATAAAACCAGGTGCTAAGTTGTTTAACAGGAAATAACTGTCCTCGTATTAGATGATCAGAGGAGAGTGAACATAGTTGGTTCACTAGATTGTCACTATATAAAACCAGATGCTAAGTTGTTTAACAGGAAATAACTGTCCTTGTATTAGATGATCAGAGGAGAGTGAACATAGTTGGTTCACTAGATTGTCGCTATATAAAACCAGATGCATTTTTCCACATTTCCTAAGTTACTATAAGTTATTGAAAGAAAAAAAAATATATATATAAACAAATTTGAATTGATAGTTTAAGCTGTAGAACAAAAATCAAAATCTTTGCTTAGCTTTAAGCACTTTAAATTTGTTATTTCTTAAATCATGAATAAAATTTAAGGATGTTTGTAAAATGGTCCAGGATGAGGCATAAGTTGTTTATGAATTTTTCCAATTATAAAACCTTCAGAATGTCACACAGAGATTATCTTATTCATACACAAACATACAGTGCATGTACTAAATACTGACTTATTCATTGTGCATCAACAACAATGTGGACAAAAATTTTCATGTAACATGATTGTCTCTAAAATTTTATATTGTTTATGACACAGCATCTTAATAGCTGTTTAAAATAAACACAGTATTTTTTAAATGTATTGTAATATGAAATATAAGTGAAACATTTATAGGGATGAATAAAAAATAAAAGTTATGTATAACTAACTTTGGTTAGGAAATTTATCCAGATATATATAAATTAATGTGAAAATTAAAGCCATTTTTGCAGCTATTCAATAATGGTGTTTCAAAGACAATGTGTTTCATGTTTTTTACAGTGATCTGGATTATTTTATCTGAGAAGATGAAGTTATTGTTTTAAAAGTTATATATTTTAAGTGTATCAGCTTCAATAGCAATGAAGGACTGTATTTTTGAGAATGGTTTTAAGACGTTGTATACGGTCAACTCTTGAATAAGAGATATAATTAAGATGTCAGAAAAACAGGTAGATTCAACAAATTTTAATACAAAATGATAAAAACCTTGTAACTGAGCACTTTCAAAAAGTGGACCTTTATTCTTCAGGGGTAAAGTTTACCCTTAAAGAAGAATGGTCCACCTTTTGAAAGTGTTCAGGTTATAGGGTTTTTATCATTTTAGATATAATTAAAAAGTATGTTGATGAGAAAGTTGTCATTTGCAAAACAAATAATACAGATTTTTCTGGTACGAACAATAACTTGGATAAATATCTTTCTTAGGCTTGTTGTTTTGCACTGAAGGTTTACATTTCAAATGCATTCTTGGGGAATATGTTACCTAGGGAATATAACAGAGATAAAATATTGTCATCACATATGCCCTTTAAGTTGGTGTATATTTAAAATACATGTCAAGGAATACATTTACCGTAGTATAAGGTTATTTCATTTAAACTCTGATATTAGAGCTGTTTCACATTACATATTAGTTAATTATTGAAGAGTGAGGTTTCCACATGTTGTAGAAAACAAAAGACAACTTTTTATATATACATAACTTTTATTCCTATTTTTTAAAAATGTGTAAGCAAGCTGTACTTCAGTTGTTGTCAAACTCAATATATGTTATGAAACAACATAACATCTAAAAGAATACTTATAGTTCCAGTTTTGTAACCCATCATATTTCAATTCTCTAACCCTAAAGTTTTTTGTTCTTTTTGTATTATTTCAATTAAAATAAATGAGTCATTTTCTAGCCAGCTTATATATATAAATGAAAATGTTACTTTTACACACAGTTGACGACAAGTAATGTCTATGATGTCTTGTGTACAGCGGATATGTACCTTTTGCCTGGTCTTAAACGTCAGTGTGCCTCATATATTGCACAGCAATTAGATAGGTCCAATATATTTTTCATCCTGCGGATAGCTCGTCTCTTTAAGCTTCCCAGACTAGAGGATCAATGTGCAGAGTTTATGTCTAAACACTTAGAGGAGGTGAGACTGGTAGCAACTTCTTTTTTTTCTTCTTCTTTTATTCCTATTGGAAAAAAAAGTGTAAGCAAGCTGTACTTCAGTTGTTGTTAAACTCAATCTATGTTAATGAAACAACATAACATCTAAAAGAATACTTATAGTTCTAGTTTTGTAACCCATCATACTTCAGTTCTCTAACCCTAAATTTTTTTTTTTTTTGTATTCTTTCAATAAAAACATGAGTCATTTTCTAGCCAGCTTATTTCTACATGTAAAAGTATATAGAATTTTGCCTCCTCAAGTAAAAACGAAATAAGTGTAATAGGACATTTTGGCTTCAAGAGTATTTTATCGTAAATTATCTTTTAAGCATTAAAAGCACTTTCAAGAAAAATTGGGCACCTTACGGTGGAAAATTTTTGCTGTGATAATTTGAGCTCCTTTCTTTTTTAGAATATTATATGTTTTATCATAGTACTTTTTAATCATATAAGATGCCCCACCAGTTGCTCAATGGTAAGTCAATGTGCTTATAACATTAATACCCTGGTTTTGATGCTTATGGTGGCCACAGCACAGATAGCACATTTTGTAGCTTTGTCAATGTGCAGCTTTGTGCTTAACAACAAAGAAACAAAGTATATAAAATTTATAGACATTACTTAGGCTAATTTGTAAGTTATTAAAGGTGTTTGTATTTTAAAAGATTGGTTTTGTATTTATATTATTTTACTTGAAACTTCTGGGAAGCACTATAATCAATAAAAGTGATTGGTATTTTCTTTGCACTTCCAGTAAAAAAAATGTATATGTTGGGGTTATTACTTCACCTAAAGTTAGTTTTATACTTAGTGTGAAAAAAACCTGGTGGAGGTCCTGTTGATGTTCATGCTGCAGTAGAAGACAGCATCATTTTTCTGCTTTACTTTGTTTTACTAGCAACTTTATTCAGCATTATGCTGTAGCTGTCACTCAACCTTTTCATTGTTGTCAATATTTTTTCAAAGTAGTGGATCCATATGTTATTTTTTATTTTTCGATCATTTTTTTAGTGTTGTTGTACAGAAGCTTTAAACAAATACTGGGTTGAGTGCATTATATTAAACTTATTTTGATTGTGCAAATCAAGTTATATACTAGCTGAAACTGATATGAAGTTGTGGGAACTTCATGTATCAGAATTACATTTTGGCATTGTTTGGAATTATGTAGGTAGTGTGATACCACTACTTATTGACCACTTTTGGGATGGGTATGTAACAGCTCTTTCCAAGATAAAAATATTCATACACTTGTATCATATCAGAGACATAGTAGTTTCAAGATGAGATCTCTTATGTTTGAAGGCATTAGGAACAAATATTAAACAATTTGGGAGACCAGGACCCTCTAGAAAAAGACCTGCAACAAATTGTACTTAGCCAAGGTAAGTAAAGTGTGATATCTTTTAACAGTTGAGAATCCATGAATACATATGTCAGTGGCAAAGTCATCCACATGCCCAAGAAAACAGTATGTAATATAATCAAGTTAGGATCTCTGTTTTTGAAAGGAGGCCATTAGTGTATGGGTTCACCAAGATAAGGCTTCCAGTCATACCTCCTATTCCACTGTACCATATCTCAGTCACATGGTGAATGAAATTGGTATTTATGTTATTCCATCCATTTGAAGGCATATCAGTCAAATTGGTGAATACAGCATGTACACTTTTCTGTCTGATCGTATTGTCAAAACAGGCACTGGGAAACAGTCATTTTTGTACACTAAATGGATTATGGAAATATTTAGGGAGGAGTGGTAGGCTTCGACATGACAGCTTTACGATGGAGTCATTTGCATTTGAAACTATGCTATAAGGCTTTTATCAAGATACTTGGTCATTATACTGGATGTGCCAACATGGACTGTAATGATGTGGTGAGGCTCAAAATGGTTTTAATATACCATATTCAACCTTCTGTATTGGCATGTTTAATTATAAAGTTTTTGTTTTCCCATATTCCCCATTTTTTAGATACTTTTCATTTAATGTTTGTTTGAACAAATATTGTACACATATGAAAGTAATGAATTTATCACTTAAAAAATAATTTTAAGATTTGGTTTTGAAGAAGAAATATTCTAGATAAATTTATTATCAGTAATACACAATAAATAAGAGAAAAATCCAAGTATAAGAACATTATTAGAAACATAAAAGAGATTTAACTTAGCAAAAGAAAAGTTTTATGTTTCAAGCAAAGTGTATGAAATATAATGATTTTTAATACTTCCTCTAAAGATAAATAAAAATGTGCTAAAAACAAGTACAAATCTTGTAAATATTGATTCAGTACTGATAGATAAATTATTACTGAAACGTATACAATTCAGTGTATTAGTTAATTTAATGAAGAGAAAATATATTAGTTTTGACACTGTCATGTAGCCTGCTCAGTCACACAATCTTATAAGAAATTTATCCACTCAGCTTATGTGATGCCTGATTGTGAAATTCCTTTGGGGGCACACAAAATTACCTGATCTAACAGTTCCAGTTCATCTTCATTGGAATTTGTATAAAACAATGTGTTCGTTTGTTTCTAACAAAAATACAGAATGTCCATTATGTCCAATACTATTTAACATCTCTATAGACTATTTAAAAAGTGAATTACTTCCATCAACAGATATGAACAACATGAAGGTTCCATGACTGCATTACCTAGATGATATCTTCTCTGTCTTGCTTATTCACAGAAGTGATTTTCAGAAAAGATTCAACACCATAAAGTTTAAATATGATTGGAAAATGAATAGTTTGCTTCCTTTTTTTTGCTTATTCTTGTAACTATAGATGATACAGGGCATGTTTTGTCTACCTACCAAAAACCAAAAAAAACTTGGTTATGTACAGTTTTTTCATGTCATTGTGAAGATGCTAAATAATTTATTACAACCTCTGTTTGTAAGAGCTTACAGAGTATGCCATTTTTCAACATTAAATCAAGAAATTCAAAATGTGAAGAAAATATTTTAAAAATAGCTAACAGATTAAAACTATTATGTTTGAATGTGCAAAATTTTAACTTGTAAAGAAAATCCTAAAGCAAAAGTATTTTCTTGTCATTTACAAGTACCCCATTGCTATGTAAAATATCCTGACTTCAAAACTATTCAAGGAGACAAAAATACAGGACATCTCTATTGCTCCATGCCAATCACGTGAAGACTTTTACATTAGTTAAGCAGAAAGAAGTTTAAACTAAAGGTTAACAGAACAAAAAGGGACATTAAAAATGGTAGTACAAATAATGCAATATTTTTCCATGCAAGAGATTGATCACACTATGAACTAGAAATCAGTCAAAATAATAAGTAAAACTGAATGATATATATATATATAAAGCCAAAAATTACATGAAGTAGAGAATCATTGAAACTGTACTAAACATTAATATCTCTGAAAGTCACTTGAAGTTGGACTGCTTCATGACCACATGTGCCCTCAATCAGGCATCACATAAGCTTTGTGGGCAAATTTCTTTTCAGAAGACTGTGTGCAAGAAAATTGGACATGAGTGTTGAAACTAGTTTCCTAGTCTTTGTGCTAATATTTTGTTAGTACATTGTGATTGTTTTCATTGACTAATCTTAATTAGTAGTGTTAAGACCATGTTAATTTTGTACTCTTTATTTGATACTAAACATTTTTTTTGGGGAAAATGAATAATTTGGTAATGAACAATTCTCTAACGACTGAACTATTTATGTAAAGGTTATAGAAAAACTTTTGTGTTTAATTTATATTATAATCATTTATGATTGTAAACATTTTTATATCTTTTGATTGGTAATTGTTTTTCAGTTCCAATTTATTTTAACCTGTTCCCAAGTCCTTTAAAGAAAAGCTACTTGATATTAGTATTATTATTGTTTCCTTTTTTAAAGATTGTGGATGTACCAGAATTTAATGCCTTAGTAAAGGAAGATGCACTAGAAGTGAAAGAAAGACAGGATACTGACAGTATTGCTATTATTGATGACATTCGATACCACATCACTAGCAATGTTCAGACCTTTTCAGAAATGGAGGAGGCCAATGATAAACTTGCTCTCATTGACAACCTTTTGGAAAACTTAGGACTTGAAGGTTAATTTTGTAGTTATATTTGTGTAATTTTTATGCAAATTATGAAATTATTATACAGCCTTTAACAGGCTTCCTCTTTCATTATAATTGTACAAAATGTACATTGAAAAGGTGTTTGTGGTGTTTTTTAAGTGGTACAGCTATTCATGCTTTTTTTTCTGTAAAATTAAAAAAAGCTGGATTTCATTTGTAACCATTACTTTTGTTGGTATGAAGGTAGGGATATGATGTTCTTATCAGAGAATATAAGCCATTGTATATCTGTATATCCTTGTTAAACAGTTATATACTCATGAACAGTATTGGCAGATTTATCAGAAGCAAACATCTTAGAAATTTTAAATATTAAACTCTCATGTTTCAAAGTCTAATATGCTTCTTGTATGTTCAAAAATTTGGAATTTTAAATATACTGTATTTTATTAACCACATATAATTATTAGCTTTAAAAATTATACCTTAATAATATAATAAAATATTTTCGTTATATTGTACCTGTCAACAATATTTTTTATGATAGTACTTTGAAGCATATAATTAGTTCACTGGTATTTCATGTGAAAGATCCTATTTTTTATATCTGCTTTAAGGTATAAAAGGAAGTGAACATCAGTAAATTAAATACTGCTTGTACTTTCCAAATTACACCTAGTACCCCTAACTAAAATTATGGGTGTACAGGAAAGTAATGTTAACAAAACTGTAAGATTTTGCTAAAAAAATATCCTTGAAATGTTAACTTCATTTTGAAAAGAAGATGGGTTTACCAATTTGTTTTTCGTAAATCCTCCTTATATGTATAACACACAAATTCAGTAACTGATTGTTTTGGTTGTCATGGCAATTAATCTATGTCTTAATGTAAGTTGTATATCTTAATTCAGATAAAGAATCTCCATTTTTTTGCACCTAGTAACACAGATGTTATTGACTAAGCCTCATGAATTGAAGTGTGATTTTATGTAAGTGAGTACCAATTTCTCATTACAAAAGCCTTTAATTTATCAAATGTTTTTATTTACATGGCGACATATCTTGAAATCACACTAATTGGAAACATTATATATTTCCAATAAAAATTTGAAGACATAAGTTATAAAATGATTGAGGAAAACTATACTGAAACCAAAATGTTAGGGTAGTTTTTGCTTTGAAAATTTGAAAACAAATAGATGATACAAAAAACTGTTTAATTTTTATTGTCATATCTTAATCATATTTTAATAAGAGCCACATAAAAAGGTACAAGATCAACTCTATTTTGTGGGTTTGGGGAGTAATATGTGTGTGTGTATGTATGTATATATATATATGTATATATATATATATATATATATAT